CAGCCTGCTGAGGGAGCGGCGTCGGCGGCCTCGGTCCCAGCCCCGGCCCCGGGCCCGGACCCAGCTCCGGCTCCAGCCTCGAGCTCCAGGGGACGCCCCGCGGCGCCCCCGAGCACGTCGCCTCCGGCGGCTCTCGGCGGCCCCGCGGCGGCCTCCAGTGGCCCGGGCAGCGGCGCGGCAGTCGTCGTCGTCGTCGTCGTCGTCGTCGTCGTCGTCGTCGTCGTCGTCGTCGTCGTCGTCGTCGTCGTCGTCGAGGCGGCCTTCGCCACGCTCTCCATCGCTGCAGGCGTCCTCCTCTGCACGGCCCTCGGCGTCGGGCGACGCACGGCTCCAGCGGGCACGGCGCGCACGTCCGGCGGTTCCGACGGGAGCAGCTCGGACGGCAGCGACGCCGCGGAGCGGCGGATCGGAGCGGTGCACGCTGGGGCGAGCTGACCGCGGCGGCGACAGCGTACGGTCGGGAACTTTTGGATAGCGTGTCGCGCCGCCGGCTTTTGCCCACCGCGCTTCGGTGCGACACGCTGTCCACTGTCCCACTCCCATTCCCCCAGCGCCAACGTCTCGAGTTGTTCCGAGCCTCCCGCCCCGCGCAGCACGCTACCCGCTCGCATGGCGTAGCGTGTTGCTGGGGCCGCCGCGGCGACACGCTATCCAAAAGTCCTTACCGTAGTGCTAAAATTCTCGGGGCGCCGGACTTACATCTTCTAGTTGCGCGCTGGGCCGCCAGAAGACATTTTTTTCGAATTTGTTGGCGCAACCTTGTGCCGGGGTGATGGGGGCGTGCAAGCGAGTCCCGACTTGCGGGGATACCCTTTTTTTTTCTTTGTGGCCGCGCCCCCCCTTCTCCGCATCCTCCCTCCATGCAAGCAAACTTACCTGAATCTGAAGGGGGACTGGTTTTCCCCATATCCTAAGTTCTTGTTACTACTTAGAGGTGGTTCCGAGAAGCTCTTCCTCATTCCTCCCCCTTCCTCACTCAGAGCTATTCAGATTTACGCAGACTCACTCACACTCAGACTAACTCACACTTCGATTCACTCATACTCAGACTCACTCGAGCTCAGTCTCACTCATACTCAGGCCCACTCATACTCGGACTCACTCAAAATCAAATTCACACAAACTCAGATTCACTGGAGCACTCAGACTCACGCACATACATTCCGATTCCTCGGACCCACAGGCATTTTTAACATTCCGAAAGAGAGCGCCATGGGTCAGGACATTCCAGGACTCGCGCCCAGATTGTGGAGATGTTTCAGGCGGTTTGCTCGCTCGTGTGCTCAACATCCTCTAGTTTCGGGGCTGACTTCGAGGATGTCTAAGAGGAGGCGCTGGTTTTAGCATTCCGATGGGGGGACGCAACGACTCTCCTGTCTCAGGCGGTTTGCTCGTTCGCGTGCCCAACAGCTCTTGCGTTCTGAGCAGATTTGGAAAACGTCTCAGGCGAGGCGCTGGTTTCAGCACTCCTAAAGGGGGAGCGGAAGGTGGGTAATTATGACATTGGCCCGTTCTCGCCCATTTTGTGGGGATGTCTCAGGCGATTTGCCTGTCTGCGTGCCCAACATCGCTTTTGGTTCCGGAACATGTTGTGAGGATGTCTCAGGCGAGGCGCTGGTTTCAGCACCCCCTAAAGGGTGGGCGCCATGGGATATGACATTCGCTCGTTCTCGCCCAGATTGTGGAGATGTTTCAGGCGGTTTGCTTGCGCGCGTGCCCAGCATCTCTTGCTGTCGGAGCAGACTTTGAAGATGTCTCAGGTGAGGCGCTGGCGTCAGCACTCCCAACGGGGAGCGCCAGGGGGTACGGACCCGTTGTCGCCTAGATTGTGGGGATGTCTCAGGCTCTTTGGTTGTTTGCGGGCCCAACCAAAAAAAAATGCATTCGGAGCAGGCGTTGAAGAGGTATCAAGCGAAGCGTTGGCTTCAGCACTCCCTAGGGGGACAGCCACGGGGCAGATATGACACTCGCTCATTCGCGTTCAGCTTGTGGGGATATCTAGGTCGGTTTGCTTGCTTGTGTGCCCGACATGTTTTGCTTTCGGAGCAGATTCTGAAAATGTCTCAGGCGAAGCGCTGGCGCTGGTTTCAGCACTCCCGAGGTGGAGCGCCAGGAGGATGCGGGGTTGGTTATCCGTAAGGGCGTCGCCCCATGCCGCCGGCCCCATGTCTCGGATAATGGGAGATGCAAAAGCTAAATCATGGGGTCTGGGCGCCGCCGTGAAGCAGTTGTTTTTCGACCCTGACCCTACGGATCTGCGTGAGGGGTGCCACCGAATTTCGGAAATGTGGCAAATCCTTTGTGTTTTTGCACCCTGGCCCTACGGATCTGCGTGACGGGTGCCACGGATTTTCAGAAAATGTTGCAAATCCCATATGTTTTTGGACCCTGACCCCGCCGATCTGCGTGAGGGGTGCCAACGAATTTCAGAAATGCTGCGAATCCCTGATGTTTTTGGACCCTGACCCCGCCGATCTGCGTGAGGGGTGCCACGGAATTTCAGAAATGTGGCAAATCCCGTATGCTTTTGCACCCTGACCCCGCCGATCTGCGTGAGAGGTGCCACGGAATTTCAGAAATGTGGCGAATCCCTCGTGTTTTTGCACCCTGACCCCGCCGATCTGCGTGAGGGGTGCCACCGAATTTCAGAAATGTGGCAAATCCCTTGTGTTTTTGGACCCTGACTTCGCCGATCTGCGTGAGCGGTGTCAATTTTTAACCATCCCAGCAATTCAGAGCACACGCTCAGGGCGTGGTAAAAATGCCAGTTTGGGGCCTCCCCCCCTCGCGCGGTCCATCAACAAGGAACAGCAAGCAGCAAGAAGCAGACAAGGAACAGTAAGCAGCGAGAAGCAGAACTGTAACAGTGAAAATTGGAAGCTGCAACTGGCACAGGAAACTGCGAACCTTCGTCCTACAGCCTGGTGGCCCCACAAGGGGGCCCGCGGATTAGTAGTTACACGGCTCCGAGTGCAAACAATTTTCCTCTTTCCCCTCTTCCCTACCTATTTATCCTTCTGCTCTTCTCTTCTCATTCAACCCAAATGGATTCATCCCGATTTATTCATACTCTTTCAACTTCATGCATGTTCAAACTCGCTCATACGCATGTTCGCCCACACGTATGCATATTCAAACTCACTCACATTCAGACATATTCATATTCAGATTCACTCATACTGAGGCACACTCGAATTCACACTCACTCATGCTGAGACTCACTCACACTCCGGCACACCCACACTCAGACGCATTCACAGTTTGATTCACTCACCTTTAGATCACCCGTACTCACGCGAACGAACAACCATCCGATGTTCACATTCCGATCCTCTCATGTTCGGAATCACTCGCGCACAGATTGTGAGGATGCTTCATGCGAGGCACGGACTTCAGCACTCCAAGGAGGAGCCGCCGGGGGGTATTGCACGAGCCCGTTCGCGCACAGATTGCGGGGATGTCTCCAGCGGTTTTCCCTTTTTTGCATCTAACATGTAATGTTAGCAGAGCAGATTGCGAGGATGTCTCATGCGAGGTGTTGATTTGAGCATAGGGGGAGCCGTCATGGGGAACTTGCAGGGGCCCGTGCGCGCCCACTTTGCGGGATTGCTTCAAGCGGTTTGCATTTTTGCGTGCCCAACATTATTTGCGTGCAGAGCTGACTGCGAGGATGCCTCCGGCGAGGCGCTGGCTTCAGCATTCCATGGGGGAGCCGCCCAGGCGTATTGCATGGGCCCGTTCGCGCCCAGATTGTGGGGATGCGTCAGGCGGTTTGCCTGCGCGGGTGCCCAACACCCTTTGCTTTCAGAGCAGATTGTGGGCATATCTCAGGCGGCTTGCCCGCTTCTGCCCCCCAGATTCTTTATTGTGGTGGCCCAATGATCACCGCGATATAGCAGGCGTGGCACTGGGGCAGATTGGGGGGATGTCTCATGCGGTTTGCCTGCTTCGGTCCCCCCCAAGAAAAACGTGTCGTTGGACTTGTGTGTTCCTGACTCACTCAGTCACTCACTCACCTCCTTCCCCCTTTTTCCATTCGGACACACCCATTCGCATTCGCACTTACTCACCAGCACCTCTTCCCCACTCAGACTCACTCATCACATTCTGACTCGCTCATATTCAGATCTTCTGATCATACTCAGACTCACACACACTGGCTCGTTCATACTCGGATTCGATCAAGTTCACATTCACCCACGCCCATACCCACTTACATTCAGACCCACTCACACTCAGTCCCACCAGCCTTCATATTCATCCATACTCGGACTACCTCGGACTCAAGCCCACTCATGCCCAGGTTTGTATTCATCAATTCAGTTTCTGACTCGCCCACACTCAGACTCACTCACACTCAGACCCACTCGCACTCAGACTCGCTCGCAGTCATATACACTTAGAATCAGATCCACTCGTACTTGCACTGCTTGTATGCAGACGCAATCACATTCAGTACCCGGTTCCATTCACCCTCCGAAACACTCAGATCACCCACGCTCAGACTCACTAGCATAAAAGGCCCACCTGTTTTTTTTTTATCTGCGGGTCGAGAGCGAGCCTGTTCCGATAGAAGCCAAGCGGGCCGCGCACGGCTTTAATTAGCAGAGGGAGGGCAAAAGAAGGCGGGGCCTCACGTTAAAAAAAAGGCCCCCACACACAACTTGTTACCGCGATACACAGCTGGCGTGGCCTTGGAGCACCCCGAGTGCCAGCAGGCGCCGCGAGCAGCACGCCAGAGCGCGGGCGTGGCGACGCCATTCGCGTTTGCCTAGGTTGCCGCGGGGAGAAGGCAAGACGAACTCCTCCCTCGCTCTTCAATATGTGTTTCCCTCGTCTCTCTTGAAAGATGTCCAGAGGAGGAGGAGGAGGAGGAGGAGGAGGAGGTCATTGAAGTCGTCGCTGTCGTCGTCATGGCCGCGCCTGTCGTCTACGCGATACTCACAGACAGAGTTCCTCAACGGAACGAGACGGGAGTATCAGATGCACATATGGGGGTATTCGCGTCGAGCAAGTATTCCCTCCCCGACCTGCCTCCTTCTCCTCTCCCGCACACCCACACTCACACTCATCATGCGCCACTCATCAGATTCACTTATATTCAGACCGGTTCACACTCAGACTCACCCATATCCAGATTCACTCCTACGCAGACCCAGTCACAGCGTTTCCTCTTTCAAATTCAGTCATACTCAGAGTAACTGATTTCCCTCACGCAGACTCAGTCGCATCATTTCCTCACTCAGGCCCGGACATTTCAAAATCATTCACGCCCACAGACCGAGAGGATGTCTCAGGCAGGGCGTTGGTTTCAGCATTCCAAGGGGGGCCGCAAAGGGGTATCTCATTTGTCCAGTCGCTCCCGAATTGCGAGGGTGTTTCAAGCGTTTTGCTTGTTCTGGTAACCAACATCATGCGCTTGCACAGCTGATTGCGAGGATGTCTGAGGCGAAGCGCCCGTTTTTTAGCACTCCCAGGGAGAACCGCATGGGGGTATCTTATTCCTCCGTTCGCGCCCAGTGAGGAAGTCTCAGGCGGTTTGCGCGTTTGGATGCCCAACATTTTTGGTTATCAGGGCAGATCGTGAGGATGCCTGAGGCGAGGCGCCGGCTTCAGCACTCCAAGGGGGAGCCACCAGGAGGTATCTCATGCCTCCGTTCGCGCCCAGGTTGGGGGAGTGTCCCCCGCGGTTTGCACGTCAGCGTGCCCAGCATCCTTCGCTGTCAGAGCAGATTGTGAGGAGGTCTCAGGCGGTTTGCCAATTTCTGCCCCCCAGATTCTTCTGAGGGGTGGTCCAGCCCTCACCGCGATACAGTAGGCGTGGCACTTGGGTGCCCCAAGAGGGAGCCGCCAGGGGTGGGGATGTTCCAGGGTTCGCGTCCACATTGCTGGGATGTGTCAGGCGGTTTGCTTGTCAGGGTGCTAAACATCCTTTGATTAGAGAGCAGATTGTGAGAATGTCTCCAACGGTTTGCCGACTGCTGCCCCCAAAATTTAGATGTTGTTGTGTGGTCCAGTGTTCACCGCAATATAGCAAGCGTGGCGGTGTGGCAGTTGGGCACCCCAAGGGGGCGCCGCCAGGATTCGCGCTTAGCTTGGGGGGATGTCTCAGGCGTTTTGCTTGGTTCTGCCACTCCCAGATTCTGGCTGTCGTCCAATGCCCAACATGTGGGCACTCGGAGGCAGAGCCGCCACGGGTGGCGACAATTCTGGATTCGCGCTCTGAGTGGGGGGTGTCTCAGGCGGTTCGCCTGTTTCTGCCAAAAAAAGGCTGGGATTTGTGTGCTCCTCACTCACTCACTCAGTCACCTCCTTCCCTTTTTTCCCCTTTCGGAGGCACCCATTCGCATTCGAACGAACTCATCCCAATTTGTTTTTCACTCAGCCTCACTCATCACATTTATATTCGTTCATATTCAGATTCGATCATAGTCAGGTCCACACAGACTTATTTGCTCATGGTCAGATTCGCTCAAAGTCAGACTCACCCACACCCGTGCCAACTCAAATTCCGACTCGCTCGCAGTCACATTCACCAGCCCTCAGACTTACGCATACACAGACTACCTCGCACCCAGTCTCACCCATATTGTAGTGGCCTTCGGCCAGTGCCGCCGATCCGGGTCGCTCGGGGTGCCCCCCAGACTGGGCGGCGACACTTCGCCGACAGACACGCACGAGCACGCTCGTAGACATTACGCGCACACACACACACACACACACACACACACACGCACGCACGCACGCACACACACACACACACACACACACACACACACACACACACACACACACACACACACACACACACACACACACACACACACACACACACACACACACGCACGCACGCACGCACGCACACACGCACGCACGCACGCACACACACACACACACACACTACACACACAGACACACACACCATACTCGCACACGCGCGCCATCTTCGCAGGCACATACACGCACACGCCGGCAACACACACACATACACACACACCACGCACACAGCACAAACACACACACACACACACACACACACACACACACCACACACAACAGACACGCATTTCACCGCCACCTTCGTCTTCCCCCCATTTGTTTCCCGTTTTCTGCTCTTGTCCCGTTCCTCTTCTCTCTTTCTCTCTCTCTTTCCTTCTTTCCCCGAGTCCCTTCTCGCGTACACGGACAACCATTACCCCACGCACACGCGCACACCCCCTTTCCCCTCCTTCCCCGGCGGAGCCACCCCGGCAACCCCCCCCAGAGGCTGAAGCTCAGCCTCTCCTTCAAACTCACGCGCCACGGACCCCCCCCTCTCCCCTCCCTCCCCACGCCATCGGAGACCACGCCACCGGACCCCCCCCCTTTTTTCCTTCGATTCCCCTTGTCCACAGGCGGGACGGGGGACCAGACCCCCCCCCCCGCTCCACGCCACCGGAATCCGCGCCGCCGGACACCCCCCCCCTACCCTGGCAGAGCCACCCCGGCCGCCAGAACCTCCCCTCCCCCTCTTCCCCCAACCCCCCGTGTCCGCAGGCGGAACCCACGCCCCCGGACCAACCCCCCCCTTCCCCCTACCCCGGCAGAGCCCCCCCGGTCACCCCCTCCCCCTTCCAATCACACGCCAGATAGGTGGATTCAGATTTGTAGTCATCACACTCAAATTCATACTCACCCACACTCAGACTCACTCGCATTCAAAAAGACCCACTCGCACTTACACTCGCTCCCGCGCAAAGTCGCTTATATTCAGAGAGACTCGTATTCACACTGACTATATCCACTCACTCGCACTCAGGCTCGATCATACCCAGATCCACTCACACTCCGACTCGCTTCCCCACAAATAATTCACGCTCAGGTTCACTCGCGATCAGGTTCGCACACACACACACACGCAAATGGTTACCGCGATATAGCTGGCGTGGCACCTGGGAAACCCAAATGCCAGCAGGCCCCGCGAGCATTACGCCAGAGAGCGGGCGTAGCAGTGCAATGCGCGCTTGCATGAGTTGCCGTGGGGAGAAAGGCAATTGGAACTCCCCCTCGCTCTTTCACTTGTGTTTCCTTCGTTTGTCCTGAAAGATGTCCAGAGGAGGAGGAGGAGGAGGAGGACGTCACGGAAGTCGTCGTCGTCGTCATTGCCGCGCGTGTCGTCTACGCAGACTTGATTCCGCGAAGCGTGACTGGAGTTTGAGGTACACGTATGTTGCCGCGCCGTTTGTTCCGATCCGCGGCCTTACGTCTTGACAAGGGCGCCGCGACCACCAGTGCAAACTTCGCCTCGGGCGTGGCGGGTTTCCCGTGAGTTTGCCGCAGTGCCGGCGTCGTCTCTCTTGGGCGAGGGACGCAGGTTTTCCCGTGGGTTTGCGGTGGTGTCGGCGTCGTCCACGTGGGCGCGTCAAGGACAAACGGCGCGGCAACACATGTGCATCTCCGCGTCGAGTCATTATATTTGACATCGTTCGGACGCGTGCGTCTTTGGCGGGCGAGGACCATCGAGGAAAATCGTGGACCATCGTGCGAAGGAGAAAACAAAACAACCCCCTCCAAAAAAAACAACTATATCGAATGATACCCCGGAAATCGACGTCCGAGCGATGGCGAGTCTACGCTTCGGAGAAATCGCGCCGCTGGATACCCACACCCCCGATGTCGTGTTTTTTGTTTGCAACGTCGACCCCCAGAGGTCCGGACCCTTTCCTCGGGACCGGCTTTTCATCTTGAATCGTTTTCTGACGGCCCCGAGGCCCGGAAAGGGTCCCCAGAGGCCGACAATAGCGAAAAGCCTCCAGTCGCGATTTCTCCTCAGCGCGAGGAGGTCCGGGTATCTGGGGCCCTGGCTTTGGGCCCGCCCATGGAGGCCTCCCCGGGGCCCGCCGGCCTCGCCACCGGCAGAGGCCTCTCTCTATCTCTCTCTCTCTCTCTCTCTCTCTCTCTCGGGGGGGCCAGAGCGGCGGGCCCCGGGGGCCAGCCCCCCGAGGGCAATGGCGCACATTACTCCTCGACTCGACGCCTTCTCCTCCTCCTCCTCCTCCTCCTCCTCCTCCTCCTCCTCTTCCTCCTCCTCCTCTTCCTCCTCCTCCCTGTACGCTGTCCTCCTCTTCCTCCTCCTCCTCCTCCTCTTCTTTGATGGAAGAGAATGGCGATCATCCTCCTCCTAGAATCTCCTCGAGGGAGAATGTCCTCCTCCTCCTCCTCCTCTCCTCCTCCTCCTCTCCTCCTCCTCCTCCTCCCTCCTCCTCCTCCTCCTCTCTCTTCGATGGAGGAGAATGGCGATCATCCTCCTCCTAGAATCTCCTCGAGGGAGAATGTCCTCCCCCTCCTCCTCCTCCTCCTCCTCCCCTCCTCCTCCTCCTCCTCCTCCTCCTCCTCCTCCTCCTCCTCCTCCTCCTCCTCCTCCTCCTCCTCCTCCTCCTCTCCTCCTCCTCCTCCTCCTCCTCCTCCTCCTCCTCCTCCTCCTCCTCCTCCTCCTCCTCCTCCTCCTCCTCTCTTCTCCTTCTCCTCTCCTCTTCGAGGGAGGAGAATGGCTATCACCCTCCTCGAATCCCCTCGAGGGAGGATGTCCTCCTCCTCCTCCTCCTCCTCCTCCTCCCCTCCTCCTCCTCCTCCTCCTCCTCCTCCTCCTCCTCCTCAGGCGTCGTCCCAAGATCTCCGCCGTCGTGACTGTTTCACTCGGCCACGCGCAGAGGGGGGTCCCAGAGATCGGACGCTCCGAAAAAATCGGAGCGACATGTTTTGGGCTGTTTTCGGCTCCCAGGGGCCCTCGCCGCGCCTCGGGACCGTCAAAAATGGATTCAGGACGAAAAACCAGCCCTAGGGAAGTGGACCAGACCTCCAGGGCCCACGCATCGAAAAATTGGAGCAGCCAGATGTCTGGGGTAGGGGGAGGTGGGGAGGCTTCTTGGAAGGAGGCCGGTTATTAGAAGGCGCGGGCGTTATCTGTAAGTGTGAGGCCGGCGCCTTCTAACAGGCAGCCTCCTTCTAAGAACCATTCTCCCCTCCCCTTACCCTCAGTGTGCGCGCTGCCAGGAGTCGTCCTCCCAAGATCTCCGTCGTCGTGAGTGTTTCACGACGTGGATCCCTGGATATCAAGACCATTTCCCTGGGGCCAGTTTTTCATCCCGAGCCGGTTTTGATCCCAGTGAGGGGCCCTTGGAGGCCGAAAACAAGGAAGCAATTCCCGTTGTGTTCTTGTTCCGACGAACAGAGGTCTGGATCCTCCTGTACCTTCTCGTGGAGCCCGTCCTCTGCGCAGGGACCACAATACCCCCGAATTGAGAGGGCAGCGCCAGCTGCTACCCAGCGCGCAGGCTGCGACAGGTCAGGTTGCTACAGTGGTGCCCCTAAGAGGGCAGCGCCAGCTGCGACAGGTCAGGTTGCCACAGTAGTGCACCATGTGTCGCTGGACGTCTAGGCGCGGTGCTGCGGAGAATACAAGAACAGTGCGGGGGAGTTGCGGGCGTGAGGGAGGAGGAATGGGGGAGACAAGGATGGAGAATGGAGGGGGAGGAGGACGAAAAGGAGGAGCATCAGTAAGAGGAGGACGACGAGCACGAGGAGGCGGAGGAGGAGGCGGGCATGTGAGGTGAGGGGAGAGAGGGAAGGAGGGTGGGAATGAGGATAGGAGGGAGTGAGGGGGGGGAGGGAGGGAGGAGGGAGGCTCAAGGCTGAAGGCTGAATGCGTGAGAGCCAGGTCACACGCCAGGCTGCGCCGCAAAAGCGCGGGTCCCCTCGCCACGGGGCCGAAGGTGAAAGCAAGCCTGGCCCCGTGGGCCTGGCTGCGGGCCAGCGTGCTAGCCAGGGGCACCAAGCTGGCCCAGACGGACCAGCCTCCTCCTCCTCCTCCTCCGCCTCCTCCTCCTCCTCCTCCTCCTCCTCCTCCTCCTCCTGCTCCTGCTCCTCCTCCTCCTCCTCCTCCTGCTCCTCCTCCTCCTCCTCCTCCTCCTTCTGCTCCTCCTGCTCCTCCTGCTCCTCCTGCTCCTCCTGCTCCTCCTCCTCCTCCTCCTCCTCCTCCTCCTCCTCCTCCTCCTCCTCCTCCTCCTCCTCCGCCTCCTCCTCCTCCTCCTCCTCCTCCTCTCCTCCTCCTCCTCCTCCTTCTCCTCCTCCCTCCTCCTCCTCCTCCACCTCCTCCTCCTCCTCCTCCTCCTCCTCCTCCTCCTCCTCCTCCTCCTCCTCCTCCTCCTCCTCCTCCTCCTCCTCCTCCTCCCCACAGTGCCGCCGCGGTCCACTCCCCCGCTGGGGCTGGGCTGGAGGAAACCGCAGCGGCGCGCGGAGCGCGCTGCCGCAGCGGGTGAGCGCGGAGCGCCCACGCCGTGCTGGAGCGCGGCCAGTGTTCCGCGCCAGAACCGCAGTGCTTGATTTTTCGGCTGCGAAATCTTGGGGGGCCCCTCGCCCAGGGAAAGTTTGAAATAGGGGGGCTTCATTATCGACGGCTGTGCTCTCTTGCTCGTGGCACATTCGAACGGCAAGCAGAATCCTCATCCTCCTTCTCCTCCCCCTCCTCCTCCCAGATTTCCAAGCCGAGCCCAACTGTGGCGACGCTGCACCACCCAGCCGACGGCACGCGAGTGATAGACAGGTCGGGGCCCCGCGCCAGCCGCTCGCCTTCGCGAGGCCCCTGGCCTCGTCCACCTCGGCCCGCGCAGGCGCTTCGCGGCGCCGCTCCTCCGCGCGCGCCTCGCGGCGCTCAACCAGGCGGCCAGTGCCGGCGAGGTTTTTGGGGAACCCGTGGAGCTCGGAGACCGTCCCCAGGTCCAGGGGCCACCCTTTCATGCCATGCCTGGCGGCACCCAGTTCCATTTTCGAATAAGAAAAACACATAACCGTAGACTTTTGGCGCTCCGCGCGGATTTCTTGGATCCGCGCTGGGCCCCCCCGGCGGCGCCTCCGGCGCCGTCCCTGGCGCGCTCCGCGCGCCAGCAAATCCAAGAAATCTGCGCGGACCGTCGCAAGTTCATGTTTATGTGTTATTTTCCTCCTCTGCACCTGCGCCGGGTCAAGCACCGTGCGCCAAGTGGCCTGCGCTGTTCGACGGGGGCCGGGCGGGTCAATCCTCGCGTTTTCTTGGCCCGGGTGCGGGTGGAGGGGCTCCTGCCTCAGCCAGCGCCTGGCGTCCGCCAGGCCCGTCGCCTCCAGGCCGCTGCAGGCCTCCAGGAGTTGTCCCGGGCCCTGCCTCTGATGCTGCGCGTTGGCCCCACAACCCAAGCAGAAGAGCATTTTTGGCTGGCCCAGCTACGCAGCGGGAGAAGGGAGGAGGGGTGATTGATGGAGGACGAAAGGGGAAGAGGAGAGAGGGAAGAGGGGTGCGGCAGCAGAGAGAAGTGAGAAAGAGGAGGAGGAGGAGGAGGAGCAACAGCAGGAGGAAGAAGAGGAGGTAGAATCCTCGAAATATTCAAAAGCTGTGGGCATGGATGCGCAGCATCCTTACCGTTGCAGGTTACAGATGCCTATCCCGTGCAGCACAACGATGTTTTGGCCAGATGGGCAGATTCAGAGAAAACCTTTTGAAATGTGGGGAACTACGGTCGGCCAGCGGGTCCGAATTGTGGGGAGGCCATGCGCCAGAATCGTCATTGTTGCAGCCAGGGGCCAGGCCACGCACTTCGGCTCGCAAGGTCGTCTTCAACAAGATGACGCGAGTGTCGCAGGACACACCCGTAGATATGCCTGATATTGAAAACTAGACCATCCAATTAAGACAGGTTGTTGTTGTTGTTTTCCGCGTCTCGCTCCAGATGTGTACCCCAAACCCTCGGCACCCGCCGTCTTCGTCTTCAAACAGACCGTCAGTTCTGAGGAGGGAGGAGAGAAAGAAAGAGCCGAAGGGAGGAGTCAGGGGGAGGGAAGATGGAAGAGTCGGGTGTTGCTAAAGGTGCCCCTGGCCCAAAGTGTCCCCGGGATGGATCCCCTGGGATCTGCAGGGAGGCCCCAGGGCCTCCTGGGCACCCCTCTCGAGGCCGAGGGGACCCCAGGGGTTCCAAGATAACGCAACAAGCTGGGGGCGCCTTGGGCCAGCAACACTTCTGGCAGCCCCCGAAAGAGAGAGAGGAGAGGGCGAAGGGAGAAATGAATCCGCTGTACAACCCACCCAAGCACGGAGTACGACCGCTCGGCCTCTTCTTTATGAGATCTGAAGGGCTTCGCCCCCCCACCACCATCCCCCCCCAAGAGTGCTTGCGTGACCACGCTGTGTCGGTAGGTTGGTTGGCTTTCTAGTCGTTTGGTTGGTTAGCAGTTTGGTTGAATGGCTTGCTGCAGCTGATGTGGGCTGTTTCCTGGCTGGCTGGTTGCGCACGTCCGTAAGAACTCACGAGCGATGGTGCCCTCGGGAGCGCGCGTCCACTGTCACGCATTCGGGTCCGCGTTCTCAGGCGCGCGCGAGCGCGCGTGCGCGCCCGGGTATGCTGCAGGATTCCTGGCGTCGGGTCCAGGGCCGAATTCTCAGTAGGTTTGGCATCGCTCGGACGTGTGCATTTTTCCTCCGGCGAGGACCATCGAGGAGCATCCTTGATCATTTGGCGAAAAAACCACGCACGAAACCGAAAAAAAAAAAAAACAGGAAATAGACGTCCGAGCGATGGCCAGCAGATGACTGAGCGGGCGGCCGAGAGGCACCCCCCGAACACAGATCCCGATATGGAAAAAAAAAATGCGGCTGCTGTGCCCTGGAGGTGTGGTGCGCTTGTAGGCAGCCTCTGTGGGGCGGGTTTGCGGCCGCGGGAGCGCCAAGTTGTCGCAGTGTACACGGGATTGTCGTTGTTGGGGGCGCGAACAACGTCGCAATGTAGAAGGGACGGCATCAGTTACCAGAGAACAGTGTTTGGGGCTTGCGTTGACAAAGCGGGTGTGGCCTTGGGAGCGCGGCTGCGCTGTAATTTAGGAGGGGTCCGTTGTCGGGAGCGCGAGCGCGCCGTGCATTATATCGGATTGTGGTTTCTTTGGTGGGGGGGCGAATATGTTGTAGGATTGCCGCCTCGGAAGCGCGAATGTGTAGTAATTCATCTGGGGCTGTGGCTCCGGGAGCGCGAGCCCGTTGTAATGTACACGGGTTTGCGGCCTTGGGGACGCGAAAGCGCTGTGATTTACGATGGCTTGCGGTTTCGGGAGTATGCGCCAGAGGGTATGATTTCGGGGACGCAAACTTGTCTTAAGTTGGAGGGCTGTGGCTTCGGGAGAGAGAAAGCTGTGTAATGTACTATGGGTTGTAGCTTCGGGAGCGCGATTGCGTAGTAGTTCAATAGGGGGCTGTGGCGTCGGGAGCGCGAATTCGCTTCCATGTGCTAAGGGTGTGGTCTCGGGTACGCAAGTTTATTACAATGTACACATGGTTGTGGCCAGGGGGGCCCGAGGCTTCCGCAAGTTTCAAGGGATTGTGGCTCGGGGAGCGCGAGCTCACGGTAGTTTACCAGGGTGTGTGGTTTCTGAAGCGCCAACGCGCGGCAGTTTACGCGGGAGTGCGGCAACGGGAGCGCAAATGTGTTCTATTTTACGTGTCCCAGAGCCCTCACAAATTCTGAGTGATTCTGGTGTGGGGACCAGGTGATGTTCGGGCCAGTGGTCCCGCGCGGACTTCAAGTATTACACTGTTGGCACTAGAAGATGTAACATGTGTAAGTGTAACATTGAGAACTGACGTTGCCGCAGGGAACAGGAACACCTACCCTTCACAGCCCGCCGGACCCCCGAGGAGAGCCAGCGGAATTTTCTCCAACGCAGTGTGCAATGCGACGCAGCATGACGTGACATATGATGCGGTATGATGCCCCGCAGCGTGGTGTGATGTGATGTCCTAGTCTGCGATGTCTTGAACTATACGCATGCAATGCACTTTGCAGCCGAAAGAGATAGGCGGAATAATGTGAAAGGGAGTATGGAGGGACGGACCGATAGATGAAACATTATCCTGGCAACGGGCCCCACCTTTTGCAGTCGTGAGTACCGCAGTTATGAGGATCATTTTCGGTGGAGCCACCTAAGGGGACACGATACGTGTGAAAGGGATGTGCCGATATGGGCGGGGAGCCGCATGCGAACCTTACTAGTGGGGCCTTCGGTGGGGCTCCTTATGAGGCCACGAAACGTGCGAGGTGTGCGCCGAAATGGACGGGGAGCCGCATACGAACCTTGCCGCGGGAGCTTCGGTAGAGTTCCTTATGGGGGCTACGAAACATGTGACGGGTGTGCTGAAATGGGCGGGGGGCCACATGCGAACCTTGCCATTGGAGCCTGCGGTGGAGCTCCTTCTGGGGGCACGAAACATGTGAGGGGTGTGCCGTTTCGGGGAGTCGCATGCGAACCTTGCCATTGGGGCCGCTGGTGGGGCTCCCTATGGGGCCACGAAACGTGTGAGGGGTGTGCCGAAATGGGCGGGGGAGCCACATGCGAACCCTGCCGTTGAGGCCGTCCTGGAAACGCGTGAGGGGTGTCGCGAAAAGTGCGAGGAATCGCAGGCGAACCATGTCACTGGGGCATCCAGTGAAGCTCCCGATGGGGCCACGACAGGCAGGGATGGGAGAAGGGGGGAGCGGGAGGAGGCAGGAGGAGTGACGAGGGGTGTTGTCGCTTTAAATCGATGGCCCAACACCACAGGATCAATGAGTATACATGGGGACAGGGGGCGGGATGGAGGGAGACGTACGCAGAAGCGAGACATCTAGAAATAAGCTAGAAAAATGTATGTATGTATGTACCTGTATATGTATATGGATGCGTAAATGTAAATGTATATGTATGTGTAGATGTGTATGCATATGTATATGTCTATGTGTATGTATGTGTAAATGTATATGTATATAAATATGTATATGTACGTTGATACTATTTTATATGACTGCATACACATCTATATGAATGTATATATTTATATACAGACAGACAGACAGACAGACAGACAGACAGACAGACAGACAGACAGACAGAAAGACAGACAGACAGACAGACAGACAGACAGACCGACAGAGACCGAGACCGAGACAGAGACAGAGACTGGCAGACAGACAGACAGACAGACGGACAGACAGACAGGCAGACAGACAGACAGACAGACAGACAGATACATAGACAGAGGGGTGGAGGGGGACAGAGAGAGAGGGGTGCAGGGAGGGAGTAAGAGATGGCGAGATGGAGAGTGAAAATTACAGGGGGGTGCAGGAGTGAGAGAGAAAGAGAGCGAGAATGAGAGAAAGAGACGGAGCGACGGACGGACGGAGGGAGCAAGAGGGAGAGGATGAGGGAAGCGAAAAACATAAACATATAGCGAAAAGACGGAGAGCCAAGAGAGAGAGTGAGAGAGAGCGAAAGAAAGACAGAGAGGACCAGAGAGAGACTTATCTTGGCGATGGACCCAACAATATGCAGTTGTGAGCAGCGCAGTTCTGAGGATCTCCTCGGTGGAGCGCCCTATTGGGTCACGAAACGTGTGAGAGGTGTCCCGACATGGACATGCGGTGGGCAGGGAGCCGCATGCGAACCGTGCCACCAGGGCCTTCTGTGGAGCTCCCTGTGGGGCCACGAAACGTACGAAGGGTGTGCCGAAATGAGCATGCGGTGAGCGGGGAGCCGCAAGTACCTTGCCATTGCGGCCTTCGATGGAGCTCCTTATGGGACCACGAAACGTATGAGGGGTGTGCCGAAGTGGGTACGCGGTGGGCGGGGAGCATGTGAACCATCCCATTGGGGCCTTCGGTGGAGCTCCCTACGGAGCCGCGAAACGCGCGAGGGGTGTGCCGAAATCGGCATGCGGTGGGCGGGGAGCCGCATGTGAACCCTGCCGTTGGGGCCTTCGGCGGAGCTCCTTGTGGGGCCACGAAACGTGTGAGGGGTTTGCCGAAATGGACCTGCGGTGGGCGGGGACCGCATGAGGACCCTGCCATTGGGGTCGTTCCTGGAGCTCCCCATGGGGCCACGAAACGTGTGTGGGGGTTGCCGATGTGGACCTGCGGTGGGCGGGGAGCCACATGCGAACCTTGCCATTGCCGCCTTCGGTGGATCTCCCTATGGGGCCACGAAACGTGTGAGGGGTGTGCCGACATGAACATGCGGTGGACGGGGAGCCGCATGTGAACCTTGCCGTTGGGGCCGTCGGTTGAGCTCCCTATGGGGCCGCGAAACGTGTGAGGAGTGTGCCGACATGGTCGTCCGGAGGGCAGAGGCAGGAGCGGGAGGAGGGAGGAGCAGGAGGAGGGAGGCGGAAGGAGGAAGGAGTGACGCGGGCGGGGCGTTGTCTCTTCAAAACGAGGGCCCAACACCAGAGGATGGTTGGGCAACAAAGGAGGCAGGGAGCGAGGGAGAGGGAGGCAGGGAGAGGGAAGAAGGGAGGCAGAGGAAGAGAGAGTGGGAGTGAGGGAGGAAGGAGTGAGCAGACGGGCGCAGAGGGATAGAAATAGAGAGACGGAGAGGAAGACGCAATGATAAGAGGGGGAGAAGGAGAAAGAGAGACAGAGAGGGAGAGAGGGAGAGAGAGAGAGAGAGATATTGAGAGAGAGAGAGATGGAGATAAAACAGACAAGCAAACGGGGAAGGAGAGAGAGAGAGAGGGAGAGAGAGTAAGGAGAGAGAGAGAGATGAAGAGGGAGCGAAAATGAGGGAGCGAGGGGGGGAGAGACCGGCCGCGAGTGGAAGATCTTCCCCAGCAACTCGGTCGTCGGCGCTAAGTCCAATATCGCGAACACCTACGATTGCCTCGAGGAGTGGAAGGGCTGGGTGGGGCTGGGCCGTCAGCAGCATGCCAGCGAGAGCCGAAGGAGGCTCTGATCCGAGGGCTGGTGTTGGACCAGATCGTTGTTCGGACGATCGATCGATATTCTGACAGTCGATCGGTGTCTCGACCAGCGCAGAGCTCCGCGCTCTGGGATAAATCGAGACGACTGGATCGGGATGGGGAGGAGGAGGAGGAGGAGGAGGAGGAGGAGGAGGAGGAGGAGAAGGGAGGAGGAGGAGGAGGAGGAGGGAGGGGGAGAGAGGAAGGAGGGGGAGTGAGGGAGGGAGGGAGGGAGGAGGGGAGGGAGGGGGAGGGAGGGAGGGAGGGAGGAGGAGGAGGAGGACGAGGAGGAGGACGAGGAGGAGGAGGAGGAGGAGGAGGAGGAGGGGGTCTGGACCTACAGCAGGCTGAAATTTGGGGACGGGGGTCCACGGGCAGCAGCGCGCCAGAGCCTGCCGGCATGTCCACGATGATTTCCCGTAAAAACGCCATAAACATAGACTTCTGGCGCTCCGCGCGGATTTCATGGATCCTCGCTGGGTCCCCCCGGCAGCCCACCCTTGGCGAGCTCCGCGCGCCAGGGAGGGGGGTCCGGCGCGGATCCGAGAAATCCGCCAGCACTTCAGAGCACGAAGATGCACGATGATTCGAAGGTGGTATCTGAATAACGGGGTACTTGCTATACCTAGTCAGTGTAAGTTGTCTGTTCCTTGTATTCTGAATGTGTGGCCTCTGCGCTCAGGATTGGCATTGGCCGAGCTGGCAGTAAGACACCTACGCAGACCAGACCATTGTGTTTCGGGTTCGGTAAAGACCCATCCACATTGGCCCGTAGCCACTCGGGCTCACGCGATTAAGACTCGCATTCAACCCCTGCCAAGTATTGCTTGCGAATCCTTTGCACCGATCAGCTCGCAGATTCGGCCATGGCGTTGTCGATGTTCTGCGAGTTGCAGGCGGCTGGTTGCATCGCGCTTCTAGCAAGCCTCGTCCCCGTGACTCGCGCGTATCGTCAGAATGCGTTGGCGCTGGAGGGGGATTCGCGCCGTGGCCTCGATGCAGCCAATACTGCTCGCAGCAACGGCAGCGTCAGCCAAGAAAAGAGCCTTGCATGCTGCTGCACGAGGGGCGGTGACGTTTACGAGAACCCATCTGGATTACGAGGCTATTGCCCAAAGGAGGCGTGCATGGAGCATGGCATGGAAGTCTGGGACGTGGACGGGTGCTCCAAATTGTACGCGTGCTGGAAGCGCCGGGGCTGTGGCACCATTGGGTTGGGAATGGGTGCGGGCGATGGACCTTCAGATGCAATAGCACCGCCCGATCCGCCCAGCGTTTTTGACCCATTCAAAGGGAAAGACTTTTATTGTCCCAGCGTGTGCGACTTGGGCTGTTGCCAGATGACCAAGTCCGTCTGGGGCAACTGCAAGAACGATCGATGCACGCAGTGGAAGTGTCTCACGAGCGAGGTCCACGGTGATGGTGAGGTCAACCGCATAATGGCTGAGCACGAGGAGCATAACGAGGCGGAGGACAAGCATGCGTGCGAGGCTGTAACGACGAAGCAGAAGGGTAGCAATGGCTACAAGACGTATTGCCAGTTCACTGAGGCAGAGACGAGGCAGGAGCCCTGGAATCATGGTCGGAATGCCATCTTCGTGGGAGGCTTGGACTATGCTGATGAGTGCAAACCCGCGCTGGACGCTGCATCAGGCTGGTAAGTAGACGCACGGACCCTCAAAAGCTGCAGCGAGGAGAAGATACAGGAATCATTAAGCTTAGCTTGGTGTTTGTCCGTAGCTCTCGTCTGCAACTTGTGTGGAGACGCCAGCCCAGATGATGACATTTCTCTGGGAGTTACATGCGAGATGCCGTTCCGTGCCATGTTCCGTTCCGTGCCATGTGGCAGTCCGTGCCGTGCTACCAACGCGAGGGCCCGGGGGACGCCTGTTGCCATGCCGTGTGCCGTGCTGTGCCGCGAGCTGTCGTGTTACACCTCCCGTTCGTAGATCCGTGGGCTGCGTGCCGGGGCGCCGCTTCTCGAGCGTGTGGGGTGCGCGTGCCCGGCCGCCCCCTGTTTCCGCACGTGCTGTTTTTTCAAACGTCTCGGCAGCGGGAGCACGACGAGGTGCTGGCGTCTGGGTTTCGCGCCTGCGCTCCGCCAGCTCGCGGTCTGGGCGCTGGCGGGTCCCACTCGCGCTCGGTTCTGGGGTGCGCTGCAGCGCCGCAGAAGCGGGGGGGCAGGACCCGTCACGCAGGCAAGTCTGGAAGAGGGGCCAAGCCGCCCGCGGTCCGAAAGAAATAGGCGCGGCGCTTACGAACAGCCCAAACAAAACCCAATGGGGTTGGCAGTGATGCGAAGGCCTTACGGCCAGTGCCGCCGACCCTGAAGGGTGACGACGACGACGCTGACGTGGGTCAGAATCCTCAGGGATGCTTCTTGGGGTACCTTCGGAGCGCTCTCGGGGACCTCGGGAGGGGGGGGGGGGGGCGCAATTTCGGGGCCTCCCGAGAGCCGATTGGGAAGGGGGGGACCTCTTGGGGGCCTCTTGGGGGCCTCTTGGGGGCTTCTTAGGGCCGGAGCCTCTCGAGGCCGAGGGCTCGAAATGTCCGGTCGGGTCCCCCGTCTGGGCACCCTCTTAGAGCCGTCTTGGGGACCTCTTGGGCTGTCTTGGAGGCCTCTTGGGCCACATTATTGCCTTTTTGAATCGTTTTGGGGCCCTCTTGGAGGCCCCTTGAGCCGTCTTGGGGCGGTCGTGGGGGCCTCAGCCGAAAATGCGAGAATGCCAAAAATTGACACAAAAAAAAAAAAAAAAAAAAATCCTCTTGGGGTCCTCGTGGGAATGTTTTTGGAGGCGTCTTGGAGGCTTTTGGGGCCATCTTGGGGTCCTCGTGGGTCGCTTTGGGACCCTGTTGGAGGCCTCTTGGGGCGGCCTTGGGGACCTCAACCGAAAAGGCGAGAACGTCAAAATCCGTCAAAAGCCTAAGGGAAACCCTTTGGGGCCCTCGTAGGAATGCTCTTGGAGGCGTCTTAGAAGCCTTTTTGGCCATCTTGGGGCCATCTTGGGTCGCCTTGGGGTCCTTTTGGAGGCCTCTTGGGCCGTCGCGGGGCGGTCTTGGGGGCCAAACATTGCCAAAAACCCAACAGAAATCAACTAAGTTTGCCTCTTGGGGCCCTCGTGGGAAAGCCCTTGTAGGCGTCTTGGAGGCCTCCTGGGCTGTCTGGAAAGTATTTGGACCGATCGTTCGGTGGCGAATCTGCATGCAAGCCTGCCAGCAGTACAGTCGGCCTTGGAGTGTATCCACGTCGACAGGCCTGCGTGCTCCTCTCCCCCACACTAATGTTGGCATCCTTCTCCCGTTGGGAACTCATCAGTAGATGCAGGCACTGCGTAGCCAATATTTCGAAGATTTGCTGGATCTTGGTTTACATGCCCGCTGGCCGCCTTTGTCTTGGGTCCACGTCGGATCGGCAAGCTGTTTGCGACAATTCTCGGTTAAGACATGCGACTGGCACGGTTTATTCTGACAGAAACGGGAAGATGGGATTCGATACGGGCCCTGAGGGCCGGGACGATTGAGAGGTCGGTATGAGATCGCGCACGAGTGCCGAGAGGGAGGGGATCCTGGAAGCGGGCACGCTTATTGTCTGTTTCTCCTTCGGCCGCTTGGCGCCAGACGGCTGCGCTTCCCCCCGGTAGACACCACAGAGGTCGCCCGAGTTCCGTCGCATATTGGGCCCAGGATCGGTGTATACGCCCTCCCTGCTTGGCCTGGGAGGCATCTACATATATATATATATATATATATATACATACATACGTATATATACGTATATATACACATACATACATACATACATACATGCATGCATGCATGCATGCATGCATACATATATACATACATACATACATACATACATACATACATACATGCATGCATGCATACATACATACATACATACATACATACATACATACATACATACATACATATATATACAAGTGGCACGTGTGTGCCCAGGCTCATACAAAAACCTGAAGGGGCGTTTGAAGCAGGAGTGAAATGCAACATCGAAGTCGCACTCGAGCGCAAGTGGGGTTGCCACACCTTGCGATGTGTGTACCAGGACCCCCCAGGAAGCCTCAGGAGGCCCGACTTGGATACCAGAAGAGGCTCCAGGAGGCCCCAGGATTGTGAGTGTTGTGCGTGTGTGTGTGTGTGATGTATGCTTTGTGTGGTGCGTGCTTTTTGTGTGTTGTAGGTGTTGTGTGTGTGTGTGTTATGTTTGTCTAGCGTGTGATGTGTTGGGCGTGATGTGTGTCTCTGTGTGCATGTAGTTCTGAAGCCCCAGGAGGCCCCAGGAAGCCCCAGGCGGCCTCAGGAGGCCCCAGGAGACCCCAGGAGGCTTCAGGAGGCCCCAAGAGGCTCCAGGAGGCCGCAGGAGGCCCCAGGAGGCCCCAGGAGGTTTCAGGAGACCCCCAGGAGGCTCCGAGGCGGGGTCTGGGGTGCCAGAAGGTTCAGAAAGCCCCAGGAGGCCCCAGGAGGTTCCAGGAGGCCCCCAGGAGGCTCCGAGGCGGGGTCTGGGGCTCGATTTTGGAAGGATTTTTCAAGCGAAACCGCCATTCCCTGAGAATCGGGGTCACAATTATTGAAATTACCATGTGTTTTTGAAGGTGTTATGTTAAAATGTTGAAATTCCCATGTGTTTTTGGACCCTGACGTCACGATCTGCGTGAGGGGTGCCACCGATTTTCTGAATTTCGAGGATGTCCCGAGCGAAACGCCCAGAAAAATCGCGGACGCGTGCGCATCAATCGCCTCTGAGCTCCACTCCCTCGGAGAGGTGCGTATGATAATATATATATATATATATAATATATATATATATATATATATATATATACATATATATATATATATATCGAAGTAGGCCAGGGGAGGGCCCAGAACTACGACCACTGGTTCGCTTAGGGGGGCCGGGGGGGCCTTGAGGGCTCCAAGAGGGTTCATCAGGGGCCCCAGACCCCCAGAGGCTCCCAAGCTGGCCCAAAAGGCGCCCAAAGCGCCCCAGCTTGTCTGGAAGGTGGCTGAAGAGCGCCCTGGGATGGCTTCCGGACGGGCCACCAGCGCTCGAAGACAGCCCAAGACTGCTCCTAGACGGCCACAAAGGCACTCAAGACGGTCCAAGAGGCCGCCGAGAAGGCCCTCCAAGGGAAAAGAACCCGATGGAAAAACGTACATTTCCTGGATATTTCAGTCCTACCAGCGGCCGCGACGGCCCCAGAGGCTCCCAAAATGAGCCCCAGACGGCCCAAGAGGCCCCCAAAGGGCTCCCAGACGGCCTGAAGAGAGCTTCAAGCAGCGCAAGAGAGCTCCAACACAGCCCAAGAGAGTACCCAGGAACCCCGAGGGGGCCACCGGAGGATCCCTACATGGTCGGAGAGGGCCCCCCGAGGGCCCCAAGACGGGCTCAGGTCCCCATGACGGGCGAAGAGGGACCCGGAACGGCCGAATTGGGCTCCCAGAGGGTCCAAAGGGTTTCCAGGGGGTCCAAAAAATGCTTACCAGGACTCCCTGAAGACGGTCCAGGAGGCCGCTGAGAAGGCTCCAGGGTGCAAAAACCGAGCATTTCCCATGGAAAAACGTACATTTCTATGAGATTCGCTTCTTATGTTGTATCGGCAGCCACGTCGGCCCCAAAGGCTCCCCAAATCGGCGCCACACGGTCCACGAGACCCCCACCCTAAGAGGGATCCAAGACAGCCTCAAGAGAGCGTCGAGCAGCACAAGAGAGCTCCAAAACAGCCCGAGAGAGTCCTCAGGGGGCCCGAGGGAGCAACAGGAGGATCCCTGCATCGTCGGAAAGGGCTCCATGAGGGCCCCAAGACGGCTCAGCTACCCATGACATGCCAAGAGGGGCTTGGGACAGCCGAAGTGGGTTCCCAGACGGGCCACAAAAGGCCCGAAAGGACCCCCCCACGACTGTCCAAGAGGCCGCTAAGAAGGCCGTTCAAAGGCACAAATCAATTAGTTCCGATGGAAGACGCATATTTCTGGGAGCTTCGCTTTTTCAGAGCCACCAGCGGTCGCGACGGCCCAAGAGGTTACCAAAATGGGCCCCAGAGGCCTCAAAGAGGGTTCCAAGATGGGCTGAAGAGAGCTTTAAGCGGCACGGAAGAGCTACGGCCCAAGAGAGCCCCCAGGAAGCTTGAGGGGGCCACCAGAGGATGAAGAGGGCCCGAGATGAGGAAGGAGGTGAAGTAGGTGAAGGAACACAAGAAGGGACATACCGAAGAGCGGGGAAGACAGGGGGAGGAGGAAGAGGAGGAGGAGGTGAAGGAACAGAGATCCCTTTCAGGGAGACGCCGACGAGGAAAAGGATGAGTATAAGATGATGGGAAGAGGGAGAACGGGAAGAGGAGGAGGGGAAGGGGACTGCAGTGGACCGGGGATGATGACGGCGATGACGCTGATGATGATGTGACTATGCCGACGACGACGCGATGACGACCAACAAGGTGTTGATGATGCGGATGATGATGCTGAAAAGTACGATGATAATGATGGCGATGGTGATCACGATGCTGATCATAGTGGTAATACTGAGGATTGTTGTGATGGTGATGGTAAAGGCGGCCATGACGATGACGATGAAGATGACGGGGATGAGGATGACAATGATGACGATGATCATGACCCTAGGTAGAGCTTGAGCGCGGGCGATGGTTCTAGTATGATACATAGATATATGCATGCTTGCATGCATTTAAGTATGCATGTGTATGTGCATGTGTGTACGTATGTTCGTAAGTATTTGTGTATGTATGCATGTACGTACGTATGTGTGTAAGTATGTATGCATGCATGCATGAATGTATGTAGTGTGTATGTGTTTGTATATATATATATATGTACACGTGTGTGTGCTAGGCAGTGTTGATCCTAAGCATTGCATAGCCATCTATGCGGCGGACTATATGTGGTGAAGTCCGCAACATAGATTGTGCAATATACGCGGTGCTGTATATGGTATCTACTCTACGTGGTGCAATGTTTGTTGTGCAAAATATGTAGTGCAACGTATGATGTGCAATATATGCTGTACAACTGGCGTGGTGCAATCAATGTGGTGGACCTTATGTAGTGCAAACCACGTGGTAAACATATGTAGCACAGTCAAAATTGCGCGATCTACGTAGTCCAAAACATGTGGTGCAATCCACGCAGTGCAGCACATATTTGCATTATATTTAGTTCACGCGCTGGTTCACAATCCATATTGTGGATCATGTGCAG